GAAAATATTGTGCTTTAAACAAGTGATGTTTAGCTTTGAATAGTGATGTTTATAACCTAATAAACCTGGTCCTTGATGATAAGTGATAAGATAAAAAGGAAAAATATTTCTAACATTGTCTTGATGTTAAGCTAAGTTGAAACAGGGCCTAAGCTTATGAAAAGCACAGAGTTTGTCATCATCAAAAAAGGGAAATTTGTTGGCCCAAGTGAAGGTTAATTTTGAAGATTGATAAAGGAAGCTCAGGCGTAAACCAAGTCCATCCCTTGTGGTGCATAGAAACGGGCAGATTCGAGCATGTGTTGATGTTGAGCTAAGTTGAAACAGGGTCTAAGCTTATGAAAAGCACATAGTTTTTCATCATAAAAAATGGGGAATTTGTTGGCCCAAGTGAAGGTTAATTTTGAAGATTGACAAAGGAAGCTCAGGCATGTACCAGGTCCATCCCTTGTGGTACATAGAAACAGGCAGATTCGAGCATGTGGGATGCACATGAAGGAGATAAGATTAACTTGGTATATTTAATATCTCCTGATAAAAAAAGTTACATAATTGATAAGGAGAAGGCCTCCTTACTCAAAGAGAACACTGTCCAAGATAGGAAGAAGTTAGAAGTTGAGATCAACTAGAATTCTTCCACCAATGAAGAGTAACATTAGAACTCTAGTTATTTCTTCATCTCCTAACTCTATAAATTGCGGTATGTTCTCACATTACAGGTGACGCACAAACACAGAAGTTAAACGTGAATTGAGAGCAAAATAGCAAGGCTTTTTGCAAGCAGTTCGTGTGTGATTCAAGTGTGCAAACCTGAAGCTACATGAATCAGATAGAAGAACTAGTTTAAGTGTCTGTCTTTTATTCTAGTTCAGTTGTAATATGTGTTTTTATATTGTACCTTTCAGTTTTATCTAGAGGCAATTGTAATAGGTACTCAGAGTATTCAAGTTAGAGTTAACATGAGGTTGTCGCAACAGTTAGAGGTTGTTTGCTACAACAAGATTAGAGTTCATCCTAAGTTTACAAAAGTGCTCTGTAAATGCTATTTTTTGGCTCAGTGATTTAGTGAGGAGTTTGGAAAAATTCTACTGGGAAATAGGTCGTGATTTTTTCACCTTTTGAGTCAGGTGTTTTTCACGTAAAATACTTGTGTTCTTTACTTTCCGCATTTATTATTTCTGCAATAATAAGTTAAGGAACACTTAGAAGAATCAGGTCCTTCTATAATCAGTTTAAGCGAAAAATTAGATACCACACAAATCATCCCTCTCTTATGTGGTATTAAAATATAAAACATCAGTATATTTCTCTAAAGTTTCATATGTACTCTATCTTTGAAAGATTACCAGCTTTGAAGCCTATACGCGCTGATCAGTCCGCTCTTCGTCATGAACGTCACATTATACACCCCTGCCGTGACCTGATAAATGTGTTTCAAAGTAATGACAATGTACACTTTGACTGATGGTGTGAGATCATCTTCATTGTTCATTTTTCCCAAATCAATCTCCCAATTATTACTTCATTTTCCATATTCCTATTTTCTTCTTTTTGTGAAAGATTTTGATCGATTCAAAATGATGCTCATTAAACTTCTTAAGCGCTTTGTCCATTAACTGTTCCCAACTTGAAATTCAATGAAGGCAATGACAATTACATAAAAATTACAAGCTTAATTAAAATTTGGAAGGGTCACTAAAATATCATTGTCAGCCCGTGGCACGTGTTGTCTGCGTTCGCCCAACATACCTTAGCTTACAGAATTATCATTTGGGTTATGCCACATCAAGCCCAATAGCGCCAATATCATATGAACTTGTGCTATATTTTATATACTATTTCACATTTCTATCTCTTTTTTTATGTGGGTATATTTCTCTAAAGTGTCATACGCACTCTTTCTTCGAAAGTTACCACTTGTGAACTGAAGCTTGTACGCGCTCATCAGTCCGCTCTTCGTCATAAACTGTCACATTATACACCCCCTGTCGTGAAGGTGTTTCAAAGTCATGACAGGGGGGACTACGGACATTATACACTAACATCTTATCATATAATAGGGAAGGCTGATGCATCTAAGACCCTACTCTTAGCATTGGACAAACACTAACATCAATTACAAGATTATACTTCAACTACTACTTGTTGAACCCTAGTGTGATATATTGGCCCCTCCCTCCCCTAAGCTTATTCCTTTACACCTTTTAGATTTAATGCCTGCAGATAGGCAGATAATTGCAAGAAATGTGTCCTCGCTGCTTGACACTCTCATATTTGGTTCCCATCAGGGTCTTTTCAGTTTGAACTTCATTCAGCATAAATCCCATTGAAGTCCAAAGTCCAATATTATTAACTGAAAAAGCATAATGTTAATGGAAATTATAATTTTGGTCATGGTTATGTCATTGTTTTGTTTCTTTTGTTCTTTTTCTTTTGTAAAACGATAAGGATTTGTCACCTCTCCAACAACTCATGATCGCCTCAAGTACTTGACACACACACACATTAATTATATAATCCTATTTTAGTACTTTATCGATGTTTCTGGGTATAAGTTGATAAAGAACGAGTTAAATTGATCACAAATAGAAGTATACATACACAATATTACATGCGATTTCGATTTGAAGTTGAGAATATAATATAAGAGCTTGTAGCTTACAAAATATTATTCCAATTAAGGGGTGCGACCCTTTTTCGAACCCTACGTAAATGTGATATGCTAGTGCTTCGTGCACCGGATTGCCTTTTTCACCTATCGAAAGAGATTTTCATGATAATATTGGTGACCATAATGTCAAGAGAAAAATCTTCTCCACTTAAGATGTAGGTTTACAGATCAGTTATGGATCTCATGATCTCAATTTCTTTCTTTTTCCATAAAGTGAATGACTGAATGGTGGAAAGTTAATTGTCTGTTGGGGTCAGAAACAAGAATTCAAGAAATGAAATGAAATGACTTTTCCCACAACCCTATAATGTAAAGCACATCTGTAATTTTATCGTACATGTACATGCATGAAAGATGAAACACTTGGAAGAATAAAAGAAGAAAACACCATAATCAGAAGGAGAAGAATTTATGGCCCGATTTAGAGTGTCATCTACGAGTTCACGTGAATCCGGTAATTTTTGTGTATCTATTAAGAAATTCACTAAATGCTATAAATATTTGACCGTGAACCTAGTTATTATTATATACTTATTAACTTAAGGTCAACTAATAAACTTGAAGTCTTGGATCCGCCTCTTCAGAAGATAAACATTAGTAGGGTACATTGCCTGAGGAAAGACTGGAAAGACAAAGCTGGACAGCACCAAGTTTTTTACCAAAATGAAAGCGTTCAAATGCTGCTTGACAATTTTTCAATTATACGTTGTTTTTGAAAAGATGATTGAACCTCACTCATTTTTGCTGGAGATAGAATCTTTCTTAAAGAACATATAGAATCCACTTCATTTAAAGAAAAAAAAATGGCCAAAGGAACTGGATAGTTGTGTATTGTGATTTGTACGTGAGATCATCTTAGATTCCACTCGTGGTGGTGGAGGGAAACACTTGCATTTTATGGATTTTTCTTCTCAGAAGATCAACCTCATTCTCTACATTCCTTTTGGTTAATCATGATTTGGCCCCCAAAATCCACTAACCCAACTAATCTAAATTTACGTTGCGAGTTGGCCCATTATACTAAAGGCAGGGCTCGAACCAAGAACTTCATAATGATTAAGGGCAATATATCAAGGGAGCGCCGTAGAGGCAAGTGAAATTTGTGAAGAATTATCATAGACAAATATCACAACGGTAATGGCCGGGGAAGGGCCAAGTACATCCTTTTGTTCTCAGTTTGTAGGAATTGCTTCCATCACTAACCAGTTTAGCTCGGTTAGTGGGCTTTTATATTCGAACCTCGAATTCGGACCTGTTCGACAAGACCAGATTCATCAACAAACCTAGGTCCAATATTTGAGTATGCCTGAGTTTGCCATAAGACCTTCTCCCTCTTGGAAACAGGCTAATCAAAAGGGGGCAATTTTTCCATTTTATTATTTTTGAAATTTTCCGCTTTCTTGTCTTATTATATTATGGGAGTACAATATTTATGAACGGTATGTTGCATTGGTTAAAACTTTAACCTCTCATCAGTGTCTAGGGCCTACAATTATCATAGACAAATATCACTGGAGCGCCAAGGGCCATCACCCCCGTACTAGCTTGCATACCTAACATGTGAAAGCCTTGCTTCTCGCATTCTATGTTGATCAGACTCTCCAAAAGTGTTGTCGCACCCGTGTCGGATCCTCCAAAAAATACACTAAATTTAAAGGATCTGACACGCACACAACAATATTTTTGAAGAGTCGGAGTAACATAGCTTGCATCACTTTCTTGAAAATGTAACACTCCTCAAATTTATAAAAGTTTCGAGATACGCTAACTATAGAACTAAATTATATATATATATATATAATTGGATATACAATTAAGAAAATGTTAATAATTTTAAAATTATTAATTATTAAAAGTGGGTATCATTAATTATTAGTTAAGTTAAAAAAAGGGGAGGGGGGCCTNAGTGGGTATCTTTAATTATTAGTTTAAAAAAAAAAGGAAAGGGGACTTAAAGCCCAACAAAAGGGCTATTGAAAAATAAAGGCTTTAAGCCTCGGAGAAACAGAACCCATGATTCTTCAAAAAGGGTAAAGGCTTTTGCCTGCCTTAGACGAAAAACAGAACACTGAGTTCTGTTCGCTCACGAACAGAGCACACAGGCAACGAATAAAAATCCTAGGGTTCTTCATAACTCATTTATTCTTGAACTCAGGTATGTAAAATCTCCTATTGTCAATTACCCTACAGTAGTAATATGTAAGAATTAAATAGCTAATTCCCTTCTTCCTCTATACCATCAATAAATTTCATAATTAGGTGTAGTACTTTAAAATTGATTAAAATGCACTGGTTGTTGTAGAATCGATTGTTTGACTGGTGTCAAGGATTGGGGCCTACGTATTGGCTCGAGAAGTTTTGAGGTGAGTTGATATAACCCTTTACTAAAGTGGTTTAACTCACAAAAGCACGCATACAAGGTGTTTGATGAATTGCTTAAAAGAGTTTATCTTTATTTAATTAGAGCGAGTGAGACCCATTAATTTAGAATTGTTCTAGCAAAAGTTTAGATGATCTATTATGCTATATGTGCTTAAATTTTCAGATTTTTGTGTTGTTCTTATATGCTATTTTCATGTTGAAAATTATGAAGAAGAAAGAATCTTTGGAAATATTTTTATATGTTTATTTCATTCTTATGTCATGCTTTACATTTAAGGACACCAATATGAGCATGTACATAATGTTCTATAAAGAAAAGATTTAGACTTGAAAAGTCACAAGAAGAAGTTTTAGAAAGAAAATATTTTTGGGGAGTATCCTTTATTCTGAGAAGGGGTCATCGCCCAGGCTGAGGGTCCTGACCAAGGCGTTGACTTCCTGAAACTACTTGTGCCAAAGTAGGGAGCATACGAGCCGAGGGTCTCGTTGCTCAGAATTTACTTAGCCATGCTAAGGTATGATACATGAGGGATGAGAACCATGAAGCGAGTGACACCTCGTGGATTGAGCCTATTCGATCAGGTTGGGATTGAACCCGTGCCGATCACACGGTGATTGAGACAGAATTAAGTCAGGATAGTTGGAACCCCCAAAGTATAAAGTGAAGTATTTTTTTAAAGAAAGAAAAAGAAAAGAATTTATTTTAGAATATTCATAAATTGCTATTATGCAATTATTTTAATATTATTCTAATAAGCTTTATGTTTTACATGCATTTAGAACCTTTGCTCGTAATGTATATGTTATTAAAGTTTCTCCCCCTGTTGTTGAGACTCACTGAGTACAGTGGATGGTACTGACGTTCTCTTTTGGGAACCTACGTTGGTCTGCGGTACAACGTAGGAACCGGATTTGCAGGCGAGCAGGCTACGAGTTAGGACTTCCTTCCCTTCCAGTGATATTGGTGAGCTCCGCTTTTGTTCGTGGAGTATTCTTAGAGTCATTTTCATTTAGCTATTTCTTTGTTTATTTAGAGAACTGGCCAGGAAATCTCATGTCTTGAGCAGTGCGTCAGTTTATCAGTAGAGGCTTCATAGACATAGTCATTGGGTTGAGATTCAGATGTTATTTTATAATAACTTAGCAGTAATTCAGTAGTTACTACGAATAAAGCTTTGGAGTTGATTTATTTAAATATTTGAGTTAATCAAAAGTATTTGTTTAGATTATTGCTTTGTTGCATATAAAGTTTGGAGTTATAATAGGGTTGATAAGTAGAGATAGTTCGCTCGGTCATGTTTAGTGATCGAGTGCCGGTCTCGTCTTATTCAGAAAATGGGTCGTGACAAACTTGGTATCAGAGCCTCAGGTTTATGGAGTCCTAGGGTTCTATGAAGTCGTGTTAGTAGAGTCTTGTTTATGTGTTTGAAGCGCGCCATACTTATAAACATGAGGCTACAAGCATTTAGGAAAAGTCTCTTTTTTTCATACTTTAGATCGTGCAATAGAGTCTAACTCTAAGAAATTATCTAATTTATTCGTTTCTCCAAAACGCGCAGGAATGGCTCGTACTCGCAACTCTGACACCGACACTCAGGATGCTTCTCAAGAAACCATCGCTACTATTGTGGCTCAAGGTAGAACTAAGAAGGCTTCGACTCAGAAAAAGAGAGGAAAATTCGCAAATGGAGTCCAAGTACCCCGGGTTGAACAAGAAGAAGGGGTGGAGCATGATGATCCAGTACCTCAGGATCCATTACTGCCCCCAACAGCAGCCCCGACTCAGGCAACTATATCTCCCGAGGTGGGTCAGATGTTTAATGCGGTCAACAGTGATATGGAGATGTTTAAAGCCTTTATGGCCAACCAGAACGAGAGAAGAGATGAGATTCCATATCAATCAAATAGACAGAGCAATTCTGAGTCCTCAAGAGTGAATGAATTTTTGAAGTTGAGTCCTCTAGTATTCCATGGTTTTATAGTTGATGAAGATCCGATGTTGTGGCTGGAGGGTGTCAAGAAAGCCCTCCGAGTGATGAA